AGCGAAATTATACAAATCTGAAGAGGAGCCAACGAATTATACAATTGCTTCTTTTTGTATATATGTATAGCGAAATAGACATAGCTTTCAATTGTATATGTATAGCGAATTATACATATATATGTTTGCTATGGAACGCAATTATGCAAACTTTGCTATAGCATACAAATATGATTTTTTTGTTTGCTATATGTGAAAGTTGCTCATTGAAAAATAACCACTATGATGGAGTTCCAAATAGGAGAATTTTCACAAATAGCTACTATAATAAACTTAATTATGCTCCATAGTTATAGTTTGCATATTTACGGGTTGTAGCTGCAGTTTAAGCTATCTTGTTTGTATAAATCGTGGGTTTGTATAATTCGCGGGTGAATTTGTATAATTCGCAGGTACGTTTGGATTATTGAGCTATTTTTGTATAAACTCGAAAATAACAAATTTATACAAACTCAAACATCTGAACTTTAAACAGTAACACAAATTATATTATACAAAAGTTATACAAATTTCGAATTATACAAAACTCGAAACCCCAGCCCACGTAATTATCACTGAATGTTGGTCACGAGTGATAATTAATTAAAACTATAGCTATGATGACTAATTAACTAGTATATGTTTACTTAAACATGTAATTTTCCCTTCCAAAATATCACTTGTGAAATTTCAGAACATTATCACAAAATTTCACCAGTAAAAGCTTAACTCCCACAATGCTTATTTTTTAAAAGACAGTATCAAAAGTGACCAGTGTGCACATTTCTGCTCTAATAAAATGAAGCATTGTCTAGTCAAAAATACAAAAGAATCACTGATTCCCACACTAGATAACGGGTCCTAAGATAGCGAGATTCCTTGTGAAATAAGTTTTGCGAAAGGGGTCTCCCCTTCTCTTTAGTTATTAATGTTACTATCTGTTGAAGTGAAAAAAAAAAAAAAAACTTTTTTTTATGCTCCTCTCCCTAATATCTGTCCTTTCCAAAAACTGGAAGAAGAAGAAATCTAAATAAAAAGGTGCATAACAGAAAGTTAACTTCTTTCAAGTCTTATATGCTACTCGAAGGTAGCAGATACCAATGGAATAGTCCAAGTGCGCACAAGTTGGCTCAGAAAACACCGATATTTAAAGAAGAAATAAACACTTTGAACCATTTAACTTACAAGTATAGTTTCCATATGTCTAATATATACATGCATTACCTAATGAGAGTTTACTCACTTCACTATGTTTCCCATGGCATTTGAAAGAGTGAAGCCCTTTCTACCTATTTCCTCAAAATTCCATACAAAACAGAGATGATTATTTGAAAGTACATATATATATATATATAAGGGTTAATAAACACCCCAAAAAATTTAATTTTTCTCTAAGCTGTAACTAAATTACCAATTCTAGCTAAGCTGCTGAGGTCTTCATGTTGTTTTCAGAAACTGAACTTCTTAGATTAAGCTGTTTAAATTCATTCAGGCATTTCGTCGAGTTGTACTCTGCTGCATCCAAGAGTTCTTCTGAATATGTCCTCTTTCGCAGGAAATTCTGCTTGTAGTAGTCGTCTTCAGTCTTCATTAGGACGATAGCCTGTGATAAGAAAAAGGATCATTTTTTCAATCTTCATATAGAACCAGAAGAACATGCACTCTATGATACAAAAATGAGTTGAATTTCCAAACTACAGGAGATCAAGGGTGACAGAAAATAACAACTTGCCTGATTCATTCGAGGTCGCATAAGTGGATTTTGTTCTACACATAAGCCAGCAGTTATAATAACTCGGTTCATCTCTTTTGGATTGTAGTTATCACCAAGAACAGGATCAATTAGTTCTTTGATGTTGTGCTTATGGAGCAAAGGCTTTGCCTACATTTGAATACGTGTATGCTCGTATAGTAAGGATGTATTCATGAATTAGATAATAAGGAACATATGATGGAAGACGTGACACGAAGAATGTACCCAAATCACAAGGCTCTGCTGTGAATCATCTAGTGCTTGCCTTCCAGTTATTATCTCCAATAGCAGCACACCAAATGAAAATACATCAGTTTTCTCATCCACAGTGCCATGCATAAAATACTCTGGAGCGAAATAACTGAACAATATCAAGAAAAAATGTATTAGATCTTCTTGCAAGGTAGATGAAGATATTAGAGAAGTTTTCTATGCTTTTAATGAAAGATTTCAGGACTACAGACCCAAATGTGCCTTCAAACTTTCCCACATTATGATGTGTCCACTCTTTAGGAAGCCACTTTGCAAGGCCAAAGTCACAAATCTGCATCCACAATACACATACTCAGAATACACCATAATCAAGAATAATTTGCAGCAAACACACGAATCATTGTGTCTACTAAGTACTAAATTACATGGATGATGGAACTCAAAGAATACTTTAACTGACTAAAAAGAGAAGTAGAACCACCTTGCCTGTAATTTTTCTCTGTCATGATTCTTGGACCCTTCAAACTTAATCCACCAGTAATACAACTATGATCAGATATCTCGGAATACCAAATGATATCATACAACTATGAATATTATTTCCTAACAATAATGAAGATGCAATGGTCTTAGAGAAGTGGACAAACACTAGATTCACAAAGGATGTCACATCTTGTAGGCCACCAGTCTACTGATAGCAATTAGAAAAACAAGTGTCAAGGACTTCCACAAGTGTGATACTGAACTCAGAGAATGGCGACAACCAATTTTTTCACAAAAACTTCATGTCATCATAACAGCTTATGCCCTGAAATTAAGTGCAGAGGAATAGGCATTTCACATCCCTTAAAAAGCACTTTGGGGCAAGCACCCAGGTCCTTAGGCATGCACTTGAACACCCGTAAGTTCGTTCTATATTGGTAAGTTCAGCACTAAGCAAAATCTAGCCGGCAAACCATTATAATAGTTGTTAAAACAACATTATGAACTATATCGTGGCGATAAAGAAGAGAAAATTTGGAACTTAGTATATTTAAAATAACAACCAACTTAGTGAGCTACAGTTTCACAGCTATGTTCAAAAACCTTGCCAGATCAGTCATCTGCTTTAAACTTTAATTATTAAAGGAAACTCTTTTATTAAGCGTGTACTTCATTCTAAAGGATGTTTTGAAACATGTATCTTGAATGTTTTACATGATGTATCTCACATGAATGTGTACTCATACATCTCTAGAAACTCTTGCTATCTGTTGAGTCCCACATCGGTAGGCTTAGGGAAATTTGGTCTCCTAATATGGTCCTGGACAATCGTCCTCTCATGAGCTAACTTTTGAGGTTTAGTTAGTTTTAAGATCCATTTCTTTATCATGATATAAGAGTCAGGCCCAACCCAATTCATTATTTCATCTGATGATGGACCTCAAATCTTATATTGTTCACTCTTCATATGCTCAGTCATGGGCGTGTGGGGGTGTTGAGTCCCATATCGGTGGGCTTAAGAAAATTTGGTCACCTTATATGGTCTTGGACAATCCTCCCCTTGTAAAATAAGTTTGGTCACCTTATATGGTCTTGGACAATCCCCGCCTTGTAAAATCAGTGTTTAAATCTTAATGTAAACAAGTGCAGTTAATGGTTTAAGGTCTTAACTCTGAACCATTCACATTCAGACATACATTAACTACAAACAAACTAATTTTCAAATACATGTGAGATATCACATGAATTTGCCTTTTTCTTAAATGGTAATAATATTTTCCATAAACGACACAATAGTAGTCCTGGAATTTTCTGTACAAGTAAGTGAAACAATGCGTTTTGACCATTATACATGTGAAATATCACATGTATTTATTTTTCTTGACTGGTAATGTGATTATATTCGTAAACGACAAAAACGTAGGTGTGGAATTTTATGTGATATAATATGAATTTGCCTTTTTCTTAAATGGTAATAATATTTTCCATAAACGACATAATAGTAGTCCTGGAATTTCTGTACAAGTAAGCAAAATAATGCGTTTTGACCATTGTAATTGATTTTTTCTTGACTACATGTGATTTTTTCTTGACTGGTTATATGACTATATTCGTAAACGGCAAAAGTGAAGTCTTCTTCTCATCTTAGAGAAACTCTATAAATTCTAATGAGTTTCTCACTTATTTGCATATTCCTTCTTACACAAAAAAGTGAAATACAGTCTTAATCCTCTTGACTGAATTTTGCTCGTATATCTCGAGTTCTTTTCTCTGCAGATCACCCACCACATACAAGGAGGAATTGTATGCTACATCTTGTTTCAACTCTTGCCTACACCAACAACTCCTAAAATCCTATTTATTCCCACGCATGAAGCCTTTGATTCTGGCAAAGTTGAGAAATAACTAACATAGGTGGTCAGTAAAAGGTCAGTGCAAAACAAAGGGTGTTTAATGGTTTCCGTTTGAAAACCATATAAATCGCATCTGTGATGTATACCATGATGTATCTCACATGATGCGTACCCATCCATTTCTAACTCTTTCTATCTTGTTCTTTTCAATTTCCCTTTTCCTATATCTCTTTTTGTTGCCTCTCATGCTAGTCTCCATCAAAAAACATGTTTCAAGTAGTAAATAGATCACACAAAACTATCCAATTTGTATCCATCCATGTTTTAACTATTGCTATCTTTGTTCTTCTATTCTCTTTTCCCACTACCACTACCTCTACCTCTCTCTGTTGCATCTCTTGTTGGTCTGCATTTAAGGAATCACTTTTATAAAAGGTTGTCTTTTCTTCAAAAGGATGTTGAAACATGTGACTGAATGTTATACATGATATATCTCAATTCTCACATGATATACACTCATCTAGTAACTTTTGTTATCTTTGTTTTTCTCTATTTTGCTTTTACCAAGGATACACTACCTCTATCTCCGGCATCTCCTGCTAGTTTCCTTTAAAAAGCATGTTTTCCGCTGTACATAGGATGTATCGCACATAAATATGTACTCATCCATTTTCTACCTCAATTTCTATTTGCTCCTCTTTATATTCGGTTGCACACTTAATTGTCAATCTTAAATGTAGGTGCTTTGTCCAGATACAAGCAGAGAATATATTCTCCCAAGAGGTGTTATTGAAGTGTGCATAAGAAGCTGGGTAATGACTCTAATCCTCCTAAACACGAATCCTCGGATTCTCAAATCTGCTTGTCGAATTCTCGGGTTCCCTCACTAGGCATAAGTTCTTCAAAATGTTGGAAGGAGTTCCATCAGGAGACTGCCTTCCTTCCAATCTTTAGCTGTTCTAAGGATATCAAGAAGAAAAGGCAGAAGCGTGGGGGAAATGTAGCAACTGGTTTCTATCCCTTCAGATCATCCTAGAAGGACGTCACCCTATTTGGCCTGATTAATGGTGCCAGCAATTTTAGCTAAAGGTACGTGATCTGTTTTAACGTCTCTATTCACAGCATTCAGGCTTCTATGGTAAAATATATATATGCATAACAACTAAGGCAATTATGTAACACACCTAATCTCAGCGTATATGTTAGATATAATCTTTTCTTCCCTTAATATTCAATCTTAAATGCAAGTGCATTTAACCATGTTAAGAGAGACGTTTATGTAGACATGACCCTTACAAATTTGTATTCATTTGAGTAAGGAACAGAGATTAGAAAACTATAGATACTGTTCTAGCGCCTATCCGACTGAAGCAAGGTATATTGACATAAAAATACACTCAGAGAAGACCAGATTATTTTACCAAAATTGTGTAGATAATGGAAGATTTAAAATGCCAGATAGTATAGTACCTGAGGCACAAAATCCTCCGTAAGTAGAATATTATCAGCTTTAATATCTCTGTGTATAATCCGCCTTTGGCAATTCTCGTGAAGGTACATTAGGCCATTTGCTATTCCAAATATTATTTTGTACCTGGCAGCCCAATCTAGTTTTTCCCTTGAGCCTGAGAAAATAGAAAACAACAAAGCACCTCGTGTTATAGAAGAAAAGGATGGTTCATCAATTATGGACAGAAATTGTCTTGTAACTAGAAATTTTGAGACAAACCACGAAGAAATGATCCTAAGCTCCCTTGAGAAGATAACTGAAGAACTAGGTATGTCCCTCCTTCCACTCCATAACCAACCATCCTTGCAGTATTAGGATGGTCTACGTGTGCTATAGTACCTATTTCACATAGGAAACTTTGTTCCTGCTGCGCTTCTGTACCCTTATTGAGGCGCTTAACCGCGATAAGCTGACCATCAGGCAAACAACCCTTGTAAACTTCAGCGTACCCTCCTTTGCCAATAAAGTTTTCTGTCAAAGAAGGAGATCAACTCTATAATACACATTTATGCTTTAAAAAATTTCAAAAGTTAAAATAGATCAAAGAGTAGTAAATAAGCCTGAATGCAAGAAAGAGAGACGTCAAACACGATTACATACCTATGCTAAAATTGTTGGTAGCGATTTTCAGTTCAGATAGGCTGAAGTTCTTCCAGGAAGATGTGAAGTGGTAGATTCCCGCTGCCACATTCTCCCTCGCACTTCTGCTTTTCCTTGTCGACATCGTTGGCACAGCTAACGGTGGAAAAGAAGGTAATCTCTTGACGGAACTTCTTTTCCACATCTTGAAGAACTTATGCCAGCGAGAGGACGTTCGTGGATTAGACAACCTGGTTTGAGAACCTGAGGGTTTGTCTTTAGGAGAAATGGAGCCATTCTCTGGGTTTCTGATGCCCACTTCCATAACTCCTCTTGGAGAAGAATCATCATGTTTCTCCCTTTCCATCTCAAACATTCTGAGGTCTACAACAAGAACATAATCCATTAGAGGCAAAACATAAAATAAAAAAAAACAAGCCATAGTACACAATCTCACCTTGAGCAGAAGCCGACGCAGACAAATTTCCTGAGGTATGTTCTGCATCCATACTGATTCCCTTAGCAGATTTCCTATAAAATATCAGCCAATTGTTAGTTCTAAATTATTCAAATCACACTTTCCTCTTAGTCTTGCATCAAGGAAAGTATTAACTAATCCCAAAACCAAGAATTCAATGCTTGACACAGGACGCGGAAAATACAGATTCAAAGCAAATATTCAACGAAGGCAATTACAAAGTAGCGGATTACTAGCAAAGCATGGAAGTAACTTGGATTTTTTTTGAAATTCTATGATATTGTACCCCTGTTTTTTGTTCTATCATATTATAAAAATGATCAGCTAGATAGATACTTGTATCCCATACAAATCAAGCTATGTAATATACTTTTTTAGCAATAATAATATTTAGTTTCTTTTTGATAAAACAGTAACTTTTGTATTAAGCAATGCAAACTTACATATTACAAGCACCACAAAAGATGTTTCTAACAACCATCCCCTATGAAACGTCGATAATTTATCCCTTCCTGTTTTGGTGTGACGTAGCAAGTACCCGATAGAATAGTCAGGTCGCACGCAATTTGGTCTAGCTACCACCTTTATCAGAAAAAAATCCCTTTACAACACAAATGCAAAGCCAATTTCTCTACACAAGAACAATTTTCTTATCATTGATGAAACTTTTTTTCTTCTTTCACAACAGCATTACCTAGCAGCACGAGAGGGGTTCTTTAAATTTTGACAAGTGGAGGGAATTTGAGGAAGAAATGAAATTGCTAATCTTAAGGTCCTAGGAATAATCGTAGCCTTAATTTTAGACAGTCACCGTAGAAAAAACAGTGAATTTTCTTTTCCCTTTTGCCTGTAATTGAAAAAAACAAGACAGAGTGGGAAGAGTTAGTTTGGATTTTGATTTTTGGGAATTCAAATGCCAGCTTTGCCGTATGCTAATAACCAAGATTATTTTTTTTCATTCTAAATTTTTTTTATGATAAAAAACTTGTTTACATAAATGTAATATATATATAATTTTCATACGTAACTTATAATTATGATCAAGTTGTATATGCTTTCTTTTTAATTTTTTTATTATTATTGAAATGACGTTATTTAATTTGATGTAAACAGTTCATACATGCCAGTAGGTATTTACCAAACTTTTTTTTTTTACTCATAATACAAAGCTATCACAAATTTGCAGAAGGAAAAAAAAAGTATTAAAATCATCTTCAGTCAACAGTCAAGTTCTATATATAAAAAATAATCTGAAAAACTCTAAAACTATTCCAAATATTGTCCTATTTTTTTATTTGATTAAGGGTATAGTTGAAATAGAGAAAATATCTTTCAAATTTAGTTGATGTGAGTAGACTTGTAATAATGTCTGTAATGCAGAATTTCTCATTCAGAAACTTTAATTTAAGAAGATTTTCCTTTTTAGTGGAAAGCAAAGAAAATATATGAATTATGATAGTTGGACTACTATATTTAGTTCGTTTTGTCCTGTCAAAAGACAGTCATATATTTTAAAGGAAAAAGCGATGAATTTCATTAAACACTGGCAAATGTGGCAATTTTTAGTACTTTGCCGTTACTTATTATTTGTCTCTTATATTAAAAAAAATAGTTTCTTCCTTTTTACTTATCAACTTTAACAAAAATCAGGAAATTTATTATTTTATTTTAATATTATTTACTCGTTTCATTAATTAACTACATAAAATACTACTTAATAGTCAAACTTAGATTTTCAGAATATAATCAACAATGATAATTTAGTAAAACAAATTCTTAAGTGATAATTTTGTTGGGAAAATTCCAAGTCAACAAGAGACAAGAAAAAAAGCGATATCTAAAATATAATTATAAAATATTAAAAATTAATGAGAAAATTACCAAATTACAATTTAAGTTGTACTCCTTGAAAATATTCGTCACCTTCCTCTTCTTGAGAGTCAATTTGACTAATCTTTAAAACTAAATTGAATTAAATTAATTTAATATTTTATAATTAAAATTAAGATATTCTAAATGATACAAACAGTAATTCTAAAACTCCTTTTGATTCAACAATAATTTCTTATAATACGAAATTGTCCAAGTTTAATTCAATATGCACATTGCTTTTAACTTTTCAAATTATTTTTTCTTAATTAGTGCCTTTTTAGTTAGTTTAAATTTAGTCATATCAAAAATTCATCGAAGGGATAAAACAAAAAATAGGTCCTACACAAGTACATTTTATATGCTTAATTATTTCTATGGTGGGATATTTAGGGGAAGTATGTTGGTTATTATTGTCTCATAGTACATATAGGTTAAATCCCAATTGCTATTTTATAACAAATGACTTGTGTTTTATATTACTTCGAAAACAACTTTATTATTTTTCATGCAGATTATTGGAAAATTGTTGTCACCCTCATATTCAGTAACTAACTGTCATTATAATTATAACTTAATTATAAATATCAGATATTGGCTAGCAAGTGAGATTTTGTGGATATATTGACTATACTTTTTCTAATTAATGCAATAGACAAGGAACCTTGTTTTATGGAAAATGTTCCTTGTTCTTTCGTAATCTAATAATAAGCTTAATATGTCGATTTATTTATTGCCACTAGTACCATTTTGAAGATCAGTTGAACATATATATAACACTCACATGTGATATCTTTGTCATAATAAATTATTAATTTCATGAATGGGTAAGAAAGTGAGTCAAATATATACATAAATGTAAGTTATGTACTAGCTAAATTATCGGTGAAGAAGCATTTTTTTTATTGAATTTGTACAACTGAACAGAGTGTGTTACGTTATATATTTTTTTTGTCTTTTATTAAAAATAAAAGTTCTCAACAGAAATAAATATGGGGTTATTTTACATTTTTGTAGTATAAATAAAGGAAGGGCTTTTTTTTGGGGGGGGGGGGGGGGGGGGGGGA